AACAGCAGAGTTTCCCATGGCAATATGTCTTCTAATTTCCTGACTGCTGGTGCCGAGAGTGTTGACCGTGGAGCCAAGCAAACCGAAGCTGTGAACAATCTCAATCTCTTCACCATCCATCCTGATGCTGCTAGTTGGCCCAGTGGTGAGAATCTTTGTCTTCTTGACATTGAGCCTCAATCCATATTGTAGGCTGCATGCAGTCCTTGACCCTCTGCAGCAAGTGCTTCAGGTCCTCTTCAGTTTCAGCAAGCAGTGTTGTGTCATCTGCGTAATGCAGATTGTTGAAAAATGTACTAAGCCATTAGAGCTCCCCAATTATGGTGTATGAATGAATGTTTTAGATTTTTTAAAAAAAACAACAAAACAAAACCAAACCCTGAATGCCCTGCCATCATCAAGTTGATTGGATTTTAGAGGTTGTAAATCTTTATTGGATGAGACTTCCTTATCTTTCTTTTAATAGCTACAAATATGTATAGCTTATCCACTAAGTTACCAGGATTTCTCAGTATTTTAGAGATTGACTTGAAACTAAATTTTGATAGTAAATCTGTCTTTGTACTAATATTTGTTTGACCAAAAAAAAGTACTATAATGGAATAATATGCTATGAAGTAACACTGCTAACTAGAAGGTCTGCAGTTAGACCCCAGGCACTGCATGTGGGAGGAAGATGTGGCAGTTGCGTCTATAAAAATTGCAGTCTCTACTAAAAGGTAAGTACGAGTTGTAATCACCAGTGGGCTTGGTGGTTAGTTTTTGTGTCTTTCTTTGTGTTTCTTAATAGTTTATTCATCAGAATTAAACATAGAAGACTGAGCATTTCATTTAAACAAAAGAGGTATCAGTGATATGTCCATCACTGATTTTTAATTTGATTTTTTTTAAAAAAAGTTGTTTGCTCAGACAAGCTCATAAGCTGTATGAGAAGGAAAAAAAAGAAAAGTACTCTTTAAAATAACTTGTTTAAGTGCAAATTAATAATCCTTCCTATTTTTAAAATGAAAACTTTAATGTGCTTTCAGATTTGTGGGACTTTAATGCATTTTGTTCTTGAAAGAGCTTAGTTTGGTTTTTTTGTTTTGTTTTTTTTTCAAGCTAATAAACACAAGTGGGTACCACTCCACTTAGATGATGTAAGACAAGATTGTCAAGACAGACCAGGATCACGGAATAGCAACTCTAGATGTCAACATGAAGCAAATAAAACTGCACATAACAATAGGCGAAATGATATGAGAAGTAAGTTACATATTAAAAGAAATGAGTCTTATTGCTTATTGTTATTTAACTTTTGATAAAAGAGATATAAAGCAAAAGATATTAAAATTTCTGCATATACAAATTAAATTTTTATATCCTTTGAGTGTGTAACCATTCTTGTACCTCCTTTTCTGAATCATAAATCAACTGTCAACATAACCTCACTACTCTTTTAGTCATTTTAATGCTAGATGGATTATTTTTTTCAACTTTTCAGAAAGTTTATTACATTTATGATTTCTTGCTGGTAGCCTTTAGAGTGAGTGTTTTCTAAATTGGAACCTTCAAAGCTTTTGAAGGCCCAGCCTTTTTTGTTATTTTTATTGTGATTTTAAACAAAGCTTGGGTGTGTTTTTTCTTTTTCACTTCATGAATCAAGTGTTTTATTAGATAATGACCCAAGCCTCTGAAGTGCTGATGTGTGTCTATCAGCGGGGAAACAGGGGTCCCCATTCTTGGAGATCCTGATGCTGCAGGAGGAGTGATGTAGGTATAGATGCCACCAAAGATCAGATTGTAAGGGAAAAACATTTAATTAACCAACCTTCATGTAATTCACACAGCCTCAAGGCACCAGGACACAGCACCCGCACCCGCCCCCCACGCCTCCCCATCCAACACCCTTAATCTTCTCCTCAGCTCTCCTGCTGAAGAATTTGGCCTTCACAATGACTGGTTGCTTTGGGAGCTTTCCCTTCCCCAAAACTTTGTAGTAACCCGATCGAACCACATCAATGATGGGAGCAGCTCCAGTCTTGTTTTTTGCAGCATTTACCCTTGTCTGCTCACTGATCAAAGTCCATAATTTGTCAAGGTTAACAGTTGGGCAGAAGCTCTGATTCCTCTTCAGGTGGTAATGTCTCATACCAACCTTTCCAAAATAACCTGGATGGTATTTCTCAAAGTTGATCCTGTGGTGATGCAAGCCACCAGCATTACCTCGGCCTCCAGGTTGCTTCCGGTGCTTCCCAGTGCGGCCATGACCGTGGCTCACGTGGCCCCTAAGTTTCTGGGTCTTCCTCAGTCTTGATGGCACTTCATTTGCCTACACAAAAACGAGTGATTTGAAACAACGGTTTACAGAGAGGTTGGGTTTTCATTCATCCATTGTAGATTTTCCTCCCACCCCTCCCCACTGCTTATTCCAGATTGTTGTTATATGTATAATGTTGTAGATTTTCCTCCCACCCCTCCCCACTGCTTATTCCAGATTGTTGTTATATGTATAATGTCTGATCATACATTCCTTTCAGACAATTCTTCATCTGTTCACATGCAATATTCATTATCTATCCACTTTTTTCCTGTTCTCCCTCAAGCCCCCATGTCAGTCCTATTTTACAACAGCTGTGTTATGTAGTATTTGTCCTTTAGTGACCGAGATATTTCACTCAGCATAATATCTTCCAGGCACACCCATGTTGTTTAGTGATATAATTCTGGTTATCTCCTCCCCTCAACCTGATCTTAAAGAGTATAATGAATGCTTAAGACAGTCTTTTTGGTTTTGGTTTTGTTTTGTTTTTTTCAGGTGGAACTGACTCATAATTGACCCTCCAGCAGATTTCTAGAGACTGTAATTGACACGGGAGTTGATTGCCCATTTTCTCACTTGGAGTAGGTGGTGGATTTGAATCACTCATTTTTGGATTATCAGTGCAACTCTCTACCTAGAAGGCCACAGAGCTCCCTATTTTCTTTAAAGTTAAACTAACTGATAGGAGTTTTAGAAACTTGAGAGATATTTTTTCATTTTTTATTATTTTTTGTATATGTGTGTGTACCGTCAAATTGGACCTGACTGGTTCAGGAGGGTATTGCCCCTCGTTCTACAGCAGAGCATCTGGTGGATTCGAACAGTATGCCTCTCGGATTGCAGTGCAGCTTCTTGCCACTAGGCCACTAGAGCTCCCTGAGATATATTTTTTGTTTAAGGATTATGGATTATGTTAGGACGGTAGTTTAATGGATCCATTCAACCTTCTTACCCAGAAAGTCTGAATTACGTGATAACTGAAAAAAATCCATAGATTCTCCCTTTTGCTCACAATTCTATAGACTCTTGACCAAAATATTTATTATTAGTAGTTGGACTCCATAAATTTTTTTTTTTTATTTGGTCTCATGGCAAGGAAGGCAGTTATTCATGGAGACAGCCACACATTTCCTTTTTCTTTTTCTGTTCTTGGCTTCTCAGTTGCTCTTGGTGAATAGAGATCAACTTAAATGGCAGCTTACAAGCTTTTTTTCATCAAAAATGAACTAGTAGGTAGAATAGAAGCTCTAAACTTTAATATGGTGCCACCTCCCACTGCCAGATTTTGCTAAAGTCTTTTTTATTTTTTCTTTCCTTTTTCCAAAATCTAATCCACTAGCTGGTAAGGGGAGAAAATATGGGCAGTCTTCTCCTGTGCAGTTTATAGCCTCTCAAAATGGGAAGGAAGGACAGCTATTAGTTGGCTCCAATTTGATGGCACATAACAGCGACCACCACTAAAGAATTCATTTCCTTTCTTTATGTTGTTGTTGTTGTTATGTGCCTTCGAGTCGCTTGCGACTCATAGTGACCCTATGTACAACAGCCCTAAACTCCGCTCTGTCCTGTGCCAATCGCGCTGTCTCTGACACTCTCATCCCAATTATCCCAGTCACTGAATCAATCCACCTCATAGAGGGCCTTCCCCTCCTGCGCTGTCCCTCCACCCTCCCAAGCATGATGTCCCTCTCCA